CGGAGGAGGCGGCATTTACTTTCCTTAAACACAAACCATGAAGTTTTACCTGCCTCATGGGAATAGGAATGCAGAGATGTCCTAAAAGGTATAGATCAACATTTTTAACTGGGGTTCCTACAGATAAAACTATTTAACACTGACAGTGACAGCTGGCAGAGGGATGAATGTGGAAGATGCGACTTAGAGGCTGTGATTAGAGGCAGAAAGGGGGGAGATTTTTGCTTTTTCTTCAATTCTACTCAAGGTATTCCATAAGCAGCTAATACTTATTTTTAAGGAATACGTGTCACACTCAGCTTGGGCCAATAATAAATCAAGATGATTCAGTAATACACCAAGTTACTGAACTACTTACTTAGGCTATTACTTAGACAAATGGATTGCCTGTAATCAATACCCACTGCTCATCATTTGCAGTTTAACACTTTGACTCTGCCTTGGGTTAGGTTACCTCCAGCTCGAATCCACAGAGGGAGTGTACATTTCTCCCCTTCCTCCCATGAAGTCTTCTGAGAGTGGGCACTACCATGAGCACAGCATATCATTATCACCTCCTTCCCTTACCATGGTCATAATGAGGACTATTTCACACTATCAGTCACTGGGGAGATGGCCTAGTTAAGGAACCTGTGTTTGAAGAATGTCTTTGAGGAGTTCACAACCTGTAAACTAAAGATCGATTGTAGAAATGACACTGAAAACTTTAGCTGATGCAAAAACCAAAGTTTGCCTGTGAATTCTGTCCTGGGTGTTAGACTCAAAAACCCCTAGGGAAACAGGAACACCGTCTAGGCTTGACCTGACCTGTTCCAATTTGCAGAATATAGTCTGATCATGAACTCTGGAAGAGTTATCTATGTGCAAGAATTTTAGGAAGAATTTGGGAAGAACTTCCAACTTCCCCTAGCACTGAGTGAAGTACTCCTTATTTACTAGGCTTAAACATGGAAGGATAAACTAACCTGGGTTGCTCTATTAAGTTTAGGTGATGTAATAAAAATGTAGAATAGTTTACATTTTATAAATACGTAAGTGGCATAGATTCCCTACCTGCCCGAATCTGTCAGTGTGCTTCCTGGGCCCTCAGAAGCATTTCCATTTGCTTTTATAGGGTGGATCATCATTGATATTCATACACCCATCCCTGCCTATGTGTTTCAGGTTTGTTTCCCTCTCAAGACCGCAGGTGTGTGAGCATAGAGATCACATGCGGGTTTGGGTTTTTTTTAGTTATTTATTTTATTTTAATGCATTTTTATTGTTATTGTAAAGGTGATGTACAGAGGGGTTACAGTTATGTAAGTCAGATAAAGAGTAAGTACCTTTCTGTTTGAATAATGTCACCCCTTCCCTCGCTCTCTTCAGTTTTCCCTCCTGTTCCCACCCACAAGTTGTATAGTTCATTTTCAACAGAGTGTCTAGTGAGTACCACTGCTGCATTTGTTCACTCTTTATCCCTCCATTTCTGTGCCCCTCCTTGCTCCCCCAAAGACAGATACATGAACAAACAAAAGGAAAAGAAAACAAAAACAGCAAAAAAATCTCATGTTTCCATTTCATGGAGTTCATTTCAATAAATATGAGTTTATTTTGTATGATCAGATGCACGTAGACATTGTGGCTTTATGTTTCACTCTTACTATCCTCCTTCAGTCTCACTGTGTGTGAAGGCCTAGAGACCCGTATAAGTTATCATGTCCCAGTGTATTTTTTACAGGTGTTTTTTTCTTTATGGCCAGGCACAGGAATGTATGTTCTTAGTAGAATTAACTAATGAATAAATCTCAAGATGATAAGGGGAGATATAAAGTTATTTCTCTATTCAAAATGGCAGATGTTTCTGGAAGCCTATATATTGCTTAGAATGATCATCTCAGTGTGCTAAGAAGGTTAAATTTGACCCATCAGTAATGTCTCCAGACACTTGTGGCTATCAAATTTATGGCTACCAGACATTTTGCTGGTTCTAGTAAGAGGCATATAGTATGTCACACAGACTATCTCTGTGCATTATATTAATACAGCGTAAGTTTGAGAAAGTCTGACATAGAGTTTTCCTACATAAGCAATTGAGATCAACTCACAAAATCAAACAATCCAAAAATGTTGGAGGAATTAACGAATATTTGGCTAAGAGCGTTAATTATGTTCATTAGTGATCATATGACCAGTAGTTTTTTTTTTCAAATCCTTATACATCTCCCTCCCTCCTTTCCTTTTTTCCTTCTTTCCTTTATTTTTCTTCCACTGCTGGGCCTTGTGAGTGCTATGCAAGCACTTTACCAATAAGCCATATACAATCTCAGCCTAATACCTCTGACAGTGTGAGAGGCAAGTTCACTGATATCTCAAAGGACCCAGCCCTGCACTGATAGAATCCCGGCCTTTCCTTCAGAAAAGCTAACAGAAGTGCCTTTCCTGGATCTATAATATTTCATGATTTCAGGATTAAGACTATGAGTGTATTTCCACATTCCTACTTTCTGCTAGTTATTCCTCTTTTTTTGGCATTGTTAACACTGGGGGCAGAAAGTGTGTAGGAACCACAAACAAATGTACAGTCAGAGTGTACACTGGGAGATGTGGCAAGTGGACTCTCAGTGACAGTGTCTTGATTTTCCTACAGAAGAGCTACTCTATCTAAACATCTTGTGGCTGGTTAGCAATTCAGTGGAATATATTTCATGAATGTCATGTTTGCCCTGCTCCATGTTATCTTGTTGGGCTGTTGGTAGCCATAACAAATGGTGAGATGGATTATTTTTATTTTCCCAGTGGTTCTGAGGATTGAACACATAGAGCAGGCTGGACAAATGCTCTGTCTCTGAGCTAGCTCCCCAGCCCCTACTTTTCTGAGACAAGATCTCACTATGTAGTCCATGATACACTGAACTGAGCTGTGTAGTCCAGGGTGGCCTCCAACTCGCAATCCTCCTGCCTCCACCTCTCCAGTGCTGAGATTACAGGTGTATATCTGGAATGATAGGATTCTAGCAAGATTAAAAATAGGTAAGATTATCTGCAAAGCCTGCAAAAGATTACTTGCACCTCTACTGCACCTTTGTAACAAAACCCCAGTATCCAGTATAGTGGCTCAGTCATGTTTAGAAACAGAAGAGTAGTTCAAGTCTATACACTAAGGAAAAAGAATTTTTTGGCCTAACACACTTGGTGGTAATTGGGTTTCATGCAGGATGAAGACATGTTTTGTAGAATTGTTTTCCTAATAATCACTACTGAAAATACTCTTAAGAGTTCACACCTAGCACCACGGGGATTCCCCCCTGAGACCTCCCTATTGATGGCATCTATTTATCTGGAAGGTTCTCATCATTTAGCCAGCAAGGCAGGTTTTGTTAAATGACATCGATCAAGAGGAGGAGATCCATCGGCCTCACAATTATTTGTCACATCACACACTGCCTCTCAGTGGAAATCTAGAGGTAAAAAAAAAAAAAAGATATACCAGGGAATTAAAAAATATATGAATGACCACAGAGCAAATTTACCAATTTACAGAAATAAGGCATTTATCTCTTGAATCAATTCTCAGTAATCTTATGTGGTAGAGTTTGTGGGAGTCTATTTCTTTTCTAAGGACAGGTTTTTCATACATCATATAAACCATTCATGGAGATTCTATCTGATAATTAACGTCCTGCAGGATGGATTAGGACGTGTCTCCCTAGGAGTATTGAAAATTAACATCGCACACTTGGAAAGCAAGGGCTGGACTTCTGCGTCCATTCACCATGAGCACCAACTCATCCCCGCCCTCAGCCCTGCAGCTCTGCTACGAGCAGGTGAACGGGTCCTGCGTGAAAACGCCCTACTCGCCTGCGCCCCGAGCCCTCCTCTACGCAGTGTTCGGCGCCGGGGCCGTGCTGGCTGTGTTTGGAAACCTCCTGGTGGTGACTTCCATCCTGCATTTCCGGCAGCTGCATTCCCCCACCCACTTCCTCATCGCCTCGCTGGCCTGCGCGGACTTCTGCGTGGGAGTGGCCGTGATGCCCTTCAGCATGGTCAGGTCTGTGGAGAGCTGCTGGTACTTCGGGAGAAGTTTCTGCACGTTCCATACGTGCTGCGACGTGGCGTTCTGCTACTCGTCTCTCTTCCACCTGTGCTTCATCTCCATCGACAGGTACATCGCCGTCTCGGACCCTCTGATCTATCCCACCAAGTTCACGGTGTCCGTGTCCCGGGTTTGCATCGCCGTCTCCTGGATCCTGCCCCTGCTGTACAGCGGCGCCGTGTTCTACACCGGGGTCTACGACGACGGGCTGGAGGAATTATCCGATGCCCTCAACTGTGTGGGAGGCTGTCAGGTGGTTGTCAATCAAAACTGGGTGCTGATCGATTTTCTGTCCTTCTTGATACCCACCCTGGTTATGATCGTTCTGTACAGTCATATTTTCCTGGTGGCTAGACACCAAGCAAAGAAGATTGAAAACACGGGCGGCAAAGGCCGGCCATCCTCAGAGAGCTACAAAGCCAGGGTGGCCAAGAGAGAGCGAAAAGCTGCCAAAACTCTGGGGATTACAGTGATAGCTTTTATGATCTCGTGGCTACCTTACAGTATCGATTCGCTGGTTGATGCCTTCATGGGGTTTATCACCCCTGCCTATATTTATGAGATTTGTGTTTGGTGTGCTTATTATAACTCAGCCATGAATCCTTTGATTTATGCTTTATTTTACCCATGGTTTAAGAAAGCTATTAAAGTTATCATCAGCGGTCAAGTTTTCAAGAACAGTTCATCAACCATGAATTTGTTCTCTGAACAAGTGTAGGCAATTGAAAATATCTTTAGCCTTTCCAAATCAGATTTTTTTTTAAATCGAGGAAGATAATTAATGAAGAGTATATAGATTAATCTTTACATTAGATAGAATAAATCAGTGTTTTCCAGCCTTGTATATTGTGAGCCTTGCCCTCCCTTCAAAATATATCATCTTAATTTTTTAAATTATCTCTTTGTTGCTTTGTAGGTCCCTCCCCCACAGTATAACCCCTGCTTTCACTATATTTGATGTCAGTATAACTTGAGGAGGAGATAGGGAAAAACCAGTTGTTTAAGGATACAGGTGGACCTGTTGCAACAATGAGAAGTACAAGTTGTCATGTCCAAAACGAGCTTTACAACGTCGGTGGGGGGGGGGGGAAGGAGAAGGATTGGGATTGGGGGGGAGGGGGGAGGCTGGGAAGGGATGTGAAGTGTAAACAAAGGAGGAGGCTGCAATGCTTGGTAAGAAATGTAGCATTATCCTGCCCATGTAATTGTAACTCCTCTATACAGCATGTTCACAAATAAAATAAAATTAAAAAAAAAGAAATCTATAATCTTAAGCAATAAATCCTAAAATCTTATTTGCTAATTACTTCAGAGCTCAAGATAACCTACTCCCCGAAGACATAGTCCTTTTCTTCCCTCTTTCAGTATTCTCTTTGTTCTAGTATGTTCCCTGAAAATATCTTTATTTACCTTTGAGTCCCTTTTCTTTTTCCCCTGAAAAGCTTTTTACTTGCTTGTAGCTTGCTAAAAATTTTATATGTGTGTGTAGTTTTCACTGGGTTGTCTTTCTTTAGTTCTTTTCAATGTTTTACCAAAGAAGCCTCCTGGGTATCAGTTAAATCTAAGCAGTCTGGAGAGAGATGCTGGAATGGGGGGTGGAAGGGAAGTGATTTTGCAAAGGTTGACATCATCTTAACCAGGCTGCTTTAACTCAATTATTTCCCCTCCTGATAAACAAAGCAGATGTCAAATGATACCAGGATTATTGGCTCTTCTTGCTCCTGTGGGAAAATGTGCTGGCATAGAGAGCACCCTAAATTACATTAATCTGTTCGGGAACACTGAAGGTGATGTATTCGTTTAGGGAGAACCATTTCTGAGTGCAGAGTCTATAGTTTTCTATCTTTTCTGTAACAATATTAATTACAATAGAAAATTTGCAAGTTTCTATATGGATAGCCAGCATTCAGACAGTCGTCATTCATTCAGTTTTCTTTTTTCAAACCTGAGCCATATGCCTAAATCATATTGAAACCAGTGCTCAATGGAGACAGCTAATAAGTCAGGGTGAAAATATTTTTTTTGAAAGACAAATACTAGGCCAAGCAGGTGAGTAGGGTTAAAATCAAGAGTGTCTTTAATATGGGCCCCTGACATCATGAGATGAGAAATGCCTTTTGTCTCCTTCATCTTTCTATCCCACAGCTATAAACCCATATAATCCTCACTAATATATCAAATTCCTGGCCAATATTTCTTAAAACTGTCAAGGTCACCCAAAAGAGACTATGGTGGAGGGGGGGATGTATATCTGTAAGTCCAGTTCTCAGGAGACTAATACAGGAAGATAAGGTTTTTAGGCTAAGCCTAAGTTACGTAGATAGACATCACCTCCAAAATAATTTTTTAAGTAAATAAATAGTAAAAGTCAGTAAAACTAGTAAATAATTTTTAAGTAAATAAATAGTAAAAGTCAGTAAAACTAAGTCTGAGAAACTGATACAGTCCAAAGGAACCTGAGGAGCTATGACAGTTAAATATATTATGATGATTCAAACCTTACTGTATTCCTAGCTACTTGGGAAGCCAAAATCAATGGAGGACAGTTTTAGCCCAGCTGGGGCTGAAGTTCAGGAGACTTCATCTGAACCAGTGGGAGCTTGGTGGTACAAGCTTGTTTTCTCTATTACAAGGTGTGAGAAAAACGGTCTTTTCTATCTAAAGGGGTTGCTTAAAAGTTTCTGTTTTGGCCCAGTGACTTGGATTTTGTTGATTAATCTGCTGAGACAAATCAGCAAGTGCTGAAAGGAAAAGAGGAACTGCTTTGAGATAAGGAAGAACTTTTTTGGAACGTAAGACTTTGCCTTAATGGGTTTTACCCAGATGGAATTAAAACACTTCTCAGACAACTCACCTCAATTGTTCCAGAAATAATAGAGAGGGTGGGTTTTGTGATTACTTCTGTATTGATAATCTCAGTCTTTTAATGATCACCTTATGTAAATACATCTTTCCTTATTCAAACAAGCCAATGAGGAACAGATTGTGAACCTGAGCTCAACCAATCTGAGCAGCAGGACGGGACCTTCTGTGTTAGAGATAAATCAGGAGCAGCCTGTTTGCTCTTTGTGTTTGCTTGCCAGATTTTTGGCTCATAGCTAATCCTTCTGAAGAAGTAAAATTTGCATTGCTGAGATAATTTTTTCTTTTCTTGTCTATGTTGTGATTCCAGTCATGTTTGTAGGGTATGTTTATAACAGGGGAAGCACAGTGGCTGGGCTCAGTTGGCATATGCCTGTCACCCCCAGCCATACTAGGAAGCTTAAAGATCAAAGTGAAGGACAGCCTGGGAATACAAGGAGACCCAGACTTGAAAATAATCAATGCAAAAAGGGGCTGAAGGAGTGGCTGATGTGGCGGAGTGCCTGCCTGGAAGGCGCAGGCTCTGGTCCTATTCCCAGTACTGTAGAAACAGACAAAAAGCAAAGGTATTGGGGCTGGGAAGGTGGCTCAGTGGTAGAGCGCTTGCCTTGCATGCTGAAGACCCTGGGTTCAATTCCTCAGCACCACATAAGCAAACAGAAAAAAGCCGGAAGTGGCGCTGTGGCTCAAGTGGTAGAGCGCTAGCCTTGAGCTGAAGAGCTGAGGGACAGCGCCCAGGCCCAGAGTTCAGGCCCCACGACCGGACCCAAAAAAAAAAAAAAAAAGCAAAGGTATTGTGATATCCTGAATGGAAATCTGAAACAGAAAAGAAACATGAGAAAAGCTAATAAGGAGTGGAATTTTTTACTGATATTTAACCATAATGTATGAATATTAGTTATAAATGTACCATTCTAGTTAAAATAATAACAATATTGAAAATAATAGGAGAAACTGGAATAATAATAACAGGAGAAACTGTGATTTTGGAATATAAGAATTCTCTCTTTGCAACTTTTCTATGACTCTAAAGCTATTCTAAAATTAAAAAGATTATTTAAAAAATAGAGTGCACGATTAATCGTTTTGTGACGTTTCCAATTTATCTCTGAGAGCACAATAGGTATTCTCCTTACACTCACTCATTTATCCACTTTGCAAATGTTTTTGAAGACTTCGTGTATACAAGTTCATGGTTTGGTGTTATCAAGAATTGAAAACAAAAACTCATCATGTCCTGTGAGGAGTCAGGAGGTCAGCAATGATGTTACAATTCATAAAAGATACCATAATCCATAAAAGATACAGTAAAGGAAGGCAAAGGATCTTAAAATCTAGGTGGAAGACCAAAAAGACATAGTAAAGATGTGAGTTGAAAGCCAGTCACCAATGCCTCACATTTGTAAACCTAGCTGCTCAGGAGGCTGATCTGAAGATTGCAGTTCAAAACCAGCCCAGACAGGAAAGTCCAACAGACTATCTTCAATAAACTACTCAAAACCCTGGAAGTGTTGCTGTGGCTCAAGTTGTACAGTGCTGCCTTGAGCAAAAGAAGCTCAGGAACAGCACTCGGGCCCAGAGTTAAAGCCCCAGGACTGGCAAAAGAAAAAAAATAGGTATCAGCTGGGTACAGTGGCACATGGGCATATTACCAGTATTTGGGAGGCTGAAAGTGGAATGATTGTGAGTTTGAGGCCAAGCTAGGTCACAGTTCCAGGCCAGGCCAGGACAGGCTACATGACCGGATCTTGTCATAAAAAACAAAACATATGGAGAGGGAGCAGGAAAAGGGAAAAATGACAACTGGCATTTAAATTGGACTGTAAATTAGTAAAAAAAAAAAAAAAATAGTGAAAGGTTTTTGTAAGAGCACAAGGATGGAAAGGGAAATTCAGGCTGAGGGAATATTGTGAGCAAAGAAACAAGCACAAAGAACTCTGTGAAGATAAACAATGAAGAGGCACTGAACTAGTAGTCACTCTTTAAAGCTTCCTCATATAGAAGTCTGGTTGGCATCCAACCTCCTCCAGTTCTGCTTTTCACACCTCTCCTTAACTAATCTTCATTTTACTGTGAAAACGTTCTTCCTTCCACCCTCTGCTCTGGTTTTACTTCTATAATCCTGATTGTCTCGTATGCCAACATTTCTAAACGAGAGTCCATAAAAATAGTCTTCACATAAAGTTCTCCAAGGAGTTAAGTTTATGTATCAGCCTTGTATTGGAACTATACTTTACCATATTCTGCCTTAGCAAAGCAACAATACATTAGCATATTTAAGACTTCAGCAAAGATGCCCCTCAGTAGATGAATGGATCAAGAAAATGTGGTATATATACACAATGGAATTCTATGCCTCCATCAGAAAGAATGACATTGCCACATTTGTTAGGAAATGGAAAGACTTGGAAAAAATTATATTGAAGTAAGCCAGGCCCAAAGAAACATAGATCCCATGGTTTCCCTTATTTGTAACTAGTATATATCTGAGACAAGCAGAAATGGTCAGATAAGCTGATGTTAAGCAAAATGAATCTCAACTTAAGGACTCAAATGTTTTTTCTTTCTTGCTATTGTATGTCCCCAGTATAACCCGTTTTCACTGCATTTGATGTTGGTATTATTTGTGGAGGGGAAAAGAAAAAACAAATTGTTTAAATAGGGATACAGGTGGACCCATTGCAACAATGAGATGTACAAGATGTTATGTCGAAAATGAACTTTACAACTTTGGGCAGGAGGAAGAGGAGGAAGATGGGAGGGCAAGGATGATAAGGGGAGACAAAGAAGGAGGCAACAATGCTTGATAAGAAATGCACTCATTACCTTGCCCATGTAATTGTAACCCCTCTGTACGGTATTTTCACAATAAAAATAAATAAAATAAAATGATTTGGCACCCCTAAAAAAAAGTTGTTTAAGGAGAACTAAAAAAAAAAAAAAAAGACTTCAGCAAAAACCTGTCCAATCTTGTTTATATACACATGTTTCAAAAATGTATGTAGCTGGCCTGGTGCTGGTGGCTTACATCTGTAATCCTGGTTACTCAGGAGCCTGAGATTTGAGGATCATGGTTTGAAGCCATTCCAGTTGGTGAGACTTTTATCTCCAATTAGTTGCCAAAAAAAGCCAAAATTAGAGCTGTGCCTCGAGTGGTAAATCTCTAACTTTGAGCAAAAAAAAAAGTTGAGTCAGCACCCAGGCCCTGAGTTCAAGCTCCAAGACCACAGACAGACAGACAGACAGACACACACACACACACACACACACACTAAAAGTATGTAATCACCCACAGAGACATCTTCAGGATACAGGACTATATAATGGAACTATTATCCAAAGAAAACATTTAAGAAGCACTGTAATATATCATTAATTTCATACTTAACAAATACATTCTCTGTTTTGTATTATCATTGTATTGTATTTATTCTTTTTATGTATAAGTCACACAATTCAACTCATGTTTCTAAAAAGTAGAATGTTTTCCACTACATGGTATAATAATGAGTAAGAAATCATAGTATTTGTTATCAACTATAATATATAAATACATCCTATAATATATAAATGATATACCTGGTGTGGCTGTAGATGCAGGAGAGTATGCTTGTGGATTGAAGAGTATGATATTTCCTAGAGAACTCAGAATATAACCTGACCATCAAATGACAAAACCTCTTTGTCTTTATGGTTGAGTAATACGTATATATGAATGTCGATAAAGATGTATGAGTGTGTGTATATACACATATATATACATATATTTCTTCCAATATATACTCGTGAGTAATATGTAGCAGGACAATAATGTGTTCTATTTTTAGATTTCTGAGGAACCTCCTCCTGATTTCCATAGTGGTTGCAATAGTTTCCATTCCCATCCACACTATATGAGAGTCCCTTTTTCCCCATATCCTGGCCAGCATTTGCTGTTACTTGTTTCCTCAGTAATTGCCATTCTAACCAAGACAAGATGAGCTCTTGGTGTAGTTTTGACTTGCATTTTCTTTTCTATTCTTTTCTGTATGTTTTTTATTGTAAAATACTGTACTGAGGGGTTACAGTTACATGAGCAAGGTAATAAGCACATTTCCTATCGAGCATTATTGCCTCCTCCTTTGTTTTTCCCTTACCATCCCTTCCCTCTTGCATTTTCTTTATGCTCAAGGTATTGAACATTTCTTCATGATATGTCTGTAGGATGGCTCTACACAAGAGTAAAATGAACTACAAAACTTGGCTCTAGCATCAGTGTTTAATAATTAATAAGTCAGAAGTGGTACTGTGGCTCAAGTGGTACAGTGCTAGCCTTGAGCACAAAGAGGTTCAGGGACAGCACCCAAGCTCTGAGTTCAAGCCCCACAGCTGACAAAAATATACAAATTAAAATTTTTTAAAAAGTTAGTCTAGCCCTCAAGGTCATGACATAAACAATAAGTGAAAATATATGAGCTATGATAAAAGTTAAATGATATTCATTCTACAACTGATGTGTAAAAATGCATATAGGACTCATATTAAACCATATCCTACCCAGTTTCCAGGTCAGCAAACTGTATTAGAGAAGCAAAGTAACTTACATGAAAACTTGTAGCTAATCGTGCACTCTGTGTTGTTGGTTAAAATTGATGCAAATTCTAAGCCCAATTTTATTTCTCTCCACAGGAATGAGAATTTAGGGGAAAATAAAAAGGAATATCACAAAGGGGTACAATTAAATAAGTTCTACCTATAAGACATTTAAAGTTTATCCTGTAAGTCAGTGATTCTTGGCAATTCTTAACATGGTCATACTGCAAATGTATGTTAAAATCTATATTCAACTCCCCTCAAATGCATATAACTACATATTCTGAATATTTAGCATACTCTTCTATGGGTTTCTAAACCTCAGGGGTTTAGGTTATGATGTAATCAACAAACAAGTAGGCTAAAGTAAAAACATCATCTGTGTCTGTGGCCTAACACAAGTTTATTTCTTGTTCCTGTGGAGTCTACTATGCTGTCCTCAACATCAGCAACTTAATATTATGGGTTGGTTTAATTTCAGGACTCCATCTTTACACTTAGGGACAACTTTCCTGCTTCACCCTAAAAAGAAGCATTAACAAGGCAACCTGCTGTTGATTCACAAACCATGCAGACAGCCCCACCTACTGGTCAGAAAAATGTAAGGTTGCAAGTGGAATAATCAAAGAAGGTCACATCGTGTTAAGATATTTCAGGATTTTAATTTTGTAGAAATTACCCTTACGGTCCTTAAGTAATAGTGAAAGTGAACTAAGATGAGGTGGGTGCTGGCTTTGATTTAGTGATTCAAGGATGTGAAAGTCAAGGGTTCTAAGATTTGCCTGGTAGAGCTTTAGTATTCTTAGAGAAATAAGCACTTATTTATCCTGAAGCACTTATTTATACATGAAGTAATTTGGAAAATGAAATCTAACCATAGAAAATAAGACATCAAATTCTCTCAAAGGGATTGTTTCTACAGTCAGAAGGCAGTGAACTGAGAAAAATAAGAGAGGAGAAAGTTGCCAAGGTTTTTGTAAATCATTTTCCTCTTAAATTTATCCTTTTTTGAAACCTTTTTTTTTGGGGGGGGGTGGGAAGGGTCCGGTCGTGGGTCCTGAACTCTGGGCCTAGGCGCTGTCCCTCAGCTCTTCAGCTCAAGGCTAGCGCTCTACCACTTGAGCCACAGCGCCCCTTCCGGCTTTTTTTTTTGCTTATGTGGTGCTGAGGAATTGAACCCAGGGCCTCATGCATGCAAAGCAAGCGCTCTACCACTGAGCCACCTTCCCTGCCCCTTAAATTTATCCTTTAGTGTAATTCATTTATTTTTTCAGTCAATGACTCTTATATATGTGCTCTATCACCATTCAACTTTTGTCAGTCATGGGGCTTGAACTCAAGGCCTGGGTGCTGTCCCTGAGCTCTTTTGTTCACGGCTAGCACTCTACTGCTTTGAGCCATAACTCCATTTTCCACCACACCTCTTTTTTTTTTTTTTTTTTGTCAGTCGTGGGGCCTGAACTCTGGGCCTGGGCACTGTTCCTCAGTTCTTTAGCTCAAGGTTAGGGCTCTACCACTAGGGCCACAGAGGCACTTCCAGCTTTTTCTGCTTATGTGGTGTTGAGAAATCAAACCCAGGGCCTCATGCATGCAAGGCAAGCGCTCTACCACTGAGCCACCTTCCCAGCCCTGTTTTCTATTTTTTTATTTGTTTAGAATCTTGCTAAGTTACTCAGGCTTGTCTTAAACTTGCCATCTATCTACTTCACTCTCCACTGAGGCTAGAATTACAACTGCACAGCACCATACTTAACTTTAGTTATTTTACTAATTGTAGGTGTTATTTCTTTATACTGTGTCTTCAGATTTAATTATAGTTGCCTATTTTTTCCATCTGTTGGGAAGCTATTGATCTTTCAATTCCAGTGTAAATATCATTCTTCTCCGAGCTTCTGTGATGGAGACAACCAAGTGCTAAGACAATTGACTGCATGATTATCAGCTCCATTTCACAGATGAGAAACCTGAAGCCCACAGGAATAAGTAACTTGCCTGAAAATATGAGGAAAATAAAAGACAGGCTCATATCTGATGAAATTACCCAGACCTGATTCTTTAGCTCTTGACTTGAATATTGATTCATCTAGAAATAATAAATCACTTCTTCTTATCAGGATAGCTCTTTGTTGTGCCTTTGCTGAGAGATGATTTTATTCTGCTATATTTGTTCTTATTTATAACCTATTTCTTATCCTAAGATTTAACTTGCTCAATACAAATATAAAGGATGAAATATTGAAATGCCAGAATATAGACAATTATCACAATGACACAGTTCACATACTTTCAAGTTTGAAAGAAAAAGAAATTATCATAGTATATTAACTTAGGAATTCTAGAAACAGACAAATAGAGCTGATAAATCTATTTACAAATTAGGCTTCAAGTAGACAACAATTCTAAAATGTACATTTTGTAAAAAGAGACATTCCCAGGATCTAACTATGATTGTAAAATGTCAAGTGGTCCTATAATTCAAACAAGGGATTCAAAACCTAACTGATGTCTTATTTTAGTGTCAAGCTACTCTTGGGAGGAAATAGTACAAACCTCTGGTTTTCTAAACAAAGAAACTGAAGCAGGCGGGAAGGCTGATGCAAAATGACTGGATTTTCATCAAATGTTGCATGTGGTAGAGTCAGGGCAAGAACTCAGAAATGCAGTCTTCGAGACTCTATTCCTTACACAACTCCATGTCTTCGTTTCAAGGACATAGAGACTAAGGGCTTACATGCTTTCACTGTGTTCCGGTTTAATCCAGTGAGTGTTTAGATACCTTCATTCTGTCCTGTTCTTACAGTAAGAACACTGAATGAAAGGGATCTTTTCTGTTTCCATTTCAACACTGGAGCTGTTCACACATTAGTCCCTTGACTCACCACTCATTCCTGCAAGGCTGTACTTCTGACTCCTTGCCTGCTTCCGTAGTAGGTGTCATTCTTGGTACAGATCAATGGTGGATGTCCTTGGCGAGAAGATCTCCCAGCTCAGGGTGAGTTTCAGCGCCTTCCTGAACCACCGGTAGGAAAAGACATAGATGATAGGGTTGCAGGCTGAATTAAAGTAAGCAAACCAGATAAAGATGTCAAAGACCAGAGGTGGTGTGATGAAGTTCAGGATGCTGTCCACCATGGTGTCTATGGTAAAGGGAAGCCAGCACAAAAGGTAGATGCCCACAGCAATGCCCAGGGTCTTGGCAGCTTTTCTCTCATGCTTGGCAGCCCCAGCCAAACTTTTGCTCAAGGTGCTGATCTGCTGAGCCTGCCTGGTAGCCACCATGAAGATCTTCACGTACAAACTGATCATGATAAGACAGGGGATGAAGAAAGCAGGGAAGTTCAGCCAGCCCCAAAATTTATTGAAAAGCAGCTGGCAACTGCCCACACATGGCATCTCTTCCAGCCATTGGCGGAGTCCTCTCTCTATCACATCGGTGTAGAGGAAGAAGGCGGTGTAAGCTGCTGGCACCCCCCATCCTATCAAGATGTATCTGACTGCCATCTTGACCGTGAACTTAGAGGGATAGAGCAGGGGGTCACAGATAGCGCAGTGGCGGTCAATGGAGATGAAGCAAAGGTGGAAGATGGAGGTGAGGCAGAAGAGAGTGTCCAGGTAGGTATGCAGACGGCAGAGAAGGTCCCCAAAGAACCAGCAGCTCTCCACAGAGCGAATGGCACTGAGGGGGAGCACCAGCAGACCCAAAAGCATGTCAGCCAGTGCCAAGGAGAGCAGCAGGAAGTTGGTGGGAGTGTGAAGCACTTTAAAGTAAGACACTGCAAACACCACAAACAAATTCCCCAGGATGGTGATTAGCATGCCTGCCGCACAGGCCAGGTAGATGACCAACCGGATGGCCAGAGGATGGACCGTCCTGGGGCAAGATCCATTCACCTGGTAGCAAAACGCCGTCTGGTGTTCTTCAGTACCTTGCGTGAGGACAGCTCTCATTGATGGATTTTCCTCCTCCTTCCCTCTCCCTGGGAATGCTTCACTTTCCCCAACACAGGCAACAACTGTCTTTTCTTGATCTGCTCGACAAGCAGAAAGTGAGATTAAGAAGAGGAAATTAATTAGACAATGTTCCTACATATTGAAACGCATGTGCCCTAAAAATCAAATGCATCATAGGATTCAAAGTTACTCCTGCTAGCCCTGGTTTGTCTAACTAGTCCCTTTTGGAACTTTTTTAGGCAATATCCTTAAAGAAAGAGGTTGTAAGTTAAAGGTTTCCTCAAGGAAAATGCTTAAAAGCCAGGCATTGTGGTTCACCCCTGTAATACTAGGTACTCAAGAGGCTGAAATCTGAGGCTCAAGGTTTGAAGCCAGCCCAGGCAGGAGAGTCTGTGAGACCCTTATCTCCAATTACCCATCAAAAAGCCAGATGTGGAACTGTGACTCAAGTGTTAGAGCACTAGTCTTGAGCACAAAAGCTCAGAGACAGTATCAGGGCTTGAGTTCAAGCTCTAGGACTGACACAGAGAAAGACAGACAGACAGACAGACAGAGAAAAAGAGAAAAATTCCATTAAGTATAAAATTATTGATGGGTATTGCATTGTAGTTGTAACTTGCTCTGGGCAGATTTTATTTTTGTTGCTGCTGGTTTTTACTTTTGTTTGTCTGTTAGTCTATTTGTCGTTGGGAGGATAAAGGAGCACAGAAATGGTGGGGCAAAGGGTGAGCAAATGCAACAGTGGTACTCACTAGACACTATGTGGAGACAAACTATACAACTTGTGGGTGGGGACAAGAGGAGAAAACTGGGAGAGAGCGAGGGCAGACGTGTTTCAAAAAGAAATGTACTCCTTATCTGACTTACATAGCTGTCACCTCTCTGTATATCACCTCTAAAATAACAGTATATTTTAAAATTATTGAGAAAATATCTTTAAAGTATGAGTCTGAATCAAGTGACAGAGTAAGTCATGTTAATAAAATCACTGCTTGAGCAAAGAGTAAGTTCTAGCCTCCCTTTAACCATTTAGTAAATTGATAATAAACTCAGGAGATGGAAGTTTTTAATGACATCAATGTATCTCAAAAGAGGAACCCAACAAGCAAATTAATGAAAAGAATAGAAATGCCACTGTTTTAGCTTGTATGCTGCACATTTTCTAATGATACCAAACAGTGTTTCTACCTCCTGAGAGAACTATCTGATATGACAAAATATTTCAGTGCTTAATATCTGTCAAACAATAGTCTGTAAACTATTAAGCAAGTTCTCATAAGCTGAACTTAGTTTCCAAGCTACTTACACAGGTAGGGACCAATCCCTTTAGAGGAAGAAGTCTTTCTTGTAGCAGGTGCACTTAGGGAGGGGCGTCCCCGACAGCTGTGCAAATCTGTGATGATAGCTGTGTAATCTGTGAGTGGTTTTATATTCTCAGTGGCAACTCCTCCCCCACTGTGCAGAATGACCAAATGAGCAGAGAGTACCAAGGGGCCTAGTTTTCATTACCTGGAAAGTCTCTGTTGCTTAAGTCTCCATCTCAACATGGAATTATTTGCTCTGCCAATTAATTACAAATGAAATTTAAAGATACTGGGCTTATGCATTCTTTTTCCCATTCCTGCACTTGGAGATATACACAAAAGTATCCTTTTTGTGGACTGCCTCCTTTTAAATGAGTGAAGTCCATTACCTTAAAGGCCAGTGTAAGCCTCTATGTATAGTTTTTAATCTGTCATCAATGACACATTGAGGTACACTGAGTTATTTAGTTTGTATCTCTTCCCTTGCATCTGTCTATTAGGACCAAAATGTCATCATAGGGTAGAGAGAAAAGAGATAAACTTGGGTACTGGGAACTTTTATCTGTTTCAGTGTTTCTGACTCTCTGAGTAGACAGAAGTTCTTAACAGAACACCTAAGATGCCCCTAGGCTATTTCCAGCATCCCTGCAGCTTTATTTCTTCTCACTGTGGGAACAAGTGGATTCTATGCCAACCATTAATCACCTACTATTGTTCCTTTTGCTCATTTCATTTCATGTAACACATCATGCCATTTCTGCTGGAATCTCTTTCTCCAAATCTCTTTCTGGACATGGTCCCAACCGCAGCAGGTCATGCGTGAGTTTGGGAGACAGAAGCGGAGCTGCAGCCATCATTCCAGGTGTTGGGAGGTCAACAGCGTGTCAGCTTATCTTCCTAACTGCAGGCTGTGCTGCAGCAATGCTCCCAGGTTTACCATGCCATGGATGGCAAGGGAGTAGCTGGCCTGCCACCATAGACTTTTCTACTAGTTCCAGTTTTGCAGTCCCACTCCATTGGGAAGACGTGGCTGAATCAACGCGTTCCTGAAACTAGCTCCAGGAAAACAGCTTCATGGTTCCTTCCTCTGAAGCTCCTTTCCCCCGACGTCATCTCAGTTCTAATATACACTCTCCTGCCTGTACTGAACCCAATGACACATTCCTTTGACCTAAACTGTGGGTCATCTTCATGAACCCCAACTCAGTTTAAATTTTCCTCCCCCATGTGCTCAGCACTTCCTGTATCTGCCTCTGTCATAACACCTATTACGCTTCATTGTCATCGACCACCTGTGGTCTCTCTTATTAGGCCATAGCTCCTTGAGTCTGAGGTTCGAGTGTTTTTTTTTTTAATTTCTGGATCACAAGCACTTTAAGCAGCATGGAGAACACAGTAAGTGTTCAGTAAATGTTACTAGCCTGAATGGCTCTTTTATGTTTTCATGTTGACTTGATGGTTGGTCAGCTTTTGAGGGAGGGTCTCTTGATGTAGCCCAGGTTAGTATAGCTTCCAAAGTGCTGGGATTACAGGTATGCACCACCATACCTAGATGAGTGGCTTATGATACAGAGCCAATGTACTATGACAGTTACTCTTGCCACAGTGGGTACTATACTCAGCCTAGATAACTTCCCCTTAGACTAATCTAAAAGAAGCATGAATACCTGTGTTGAGAAACCATTCAGCTACTGTTTACAAGCATCCTTACAAGTTGTAAAGTGATTTTTATTGCTGCAGAACCTTCAACTTACTCCTTTGTTTTCTTCTATTTAGCTCTGCTCCTAGTGAATGAAAGAAAATGCTGGTATACAAGAAATACTGCCCAGTGGCCTCAGGTCCCAATTCCTTCTCATGGTTACAGATTGTGCATTACTTTGAGGATCAAATAAGAGAATGAAGGATGAACAGAAGAGGTGAAGGAAAGTAAATATAGGCAAAAATACTTTATGTGCATATATGAAATGAACAATGAAGCTTGGTGAAGTTGCTCATCCCTTTTATTCTTTGTTTTAAAGAATCACTTGGTCTCTTCTTTGAGCTTTAGGTGCAAAGAAGAATTGAAATCTTCCACAGAATGGAATGACTGCAAACAAAAAAGAACTGAATAGCATCTCAATGCACAATTTTTATTTCAAACACAACTAAGTAACACTAATAGTAGTATAGTGAATCTTTTAAGTACCTAAAAATACTATGTTCAAATTGTTAAATTACAAATCTTGATCTCTGGAAGCTAAAATGGTCATCTAAGCACTTAGGTCAAGAGAGTCTTAGAGAATGCCCTGCTGAATAGATGTCTTATTAAAAGTGTTTCAGAATAATGAGTTTCCCAGTAGATACTGAGGCAAGAGGAAATCCCAAAAGCAAACATGTTCATGAAAGATGCTCTTAGGAACTATGTACATAAACCCTAGAGACTAGAAGATAAGTCCAATGCAGAGGTGTGATATCACTTAGCTAGGTCAGAGAATAAAAAGTTTATTGAATAAAAAAACAAAATAAAATAAGAAGTTTTTCTGATCTTAAAACAAAAATTATGAGTTATTTAAGGTTATATGAGACAAAATTAGGTGAAAAATAAGTTTATGGGGTAAGAGGAAAAAAGAAAGACACAAATAAATGGGAAAAAAAAAGATTTATTGTGGTAAGAAATAATGCCCTAAATCTCTGGGACAAAGGACTTTACTTTTATTTATTGTTTTTTATCTTGTTGGTTATGGAGCTTGAACCAGGGCCTGGGCAGTTTCAACACTCTATCACTTTGAGCCACAGCTCTACTTCCTATTTTCTGACAATTAATTGGAGATAAGAGTCTCACTGACTTTCTGCTTTGAACTAAGATCCTTATATCTTAGCTTCCTGAGTAGCTTGGATTACAGGTGTGAGCTACCAGCACTCAGCTGACCTTAGTTTTATGAAGTCCAATCTTGGTGAACAATTTGTATGTGTATATATACAAGTGAGTACACATACCACACCATACACAAAAACACACAACATAGAAACATCCCCTGTATGTAAACTGGTGTGTATGTATCATATCCAAGTGTGCTGAGAAAAACATTTTCCTAAACTCTGATTTCTTATTTAACAGCAGATCAATTTTACCAACTATCCACATACTTTACTTTCATTCTTTTTCTTTTTTATTAATTTTTTATTGTGAAAATATCATATAGAGGGGTTACAATTACATGAGCAAGGTAATGACTACATTTCTTATCAAGCATTGTTGCCTCCTCCTTTGTTTCCCTTCCCATCCCTGCCCTCCCATCTCCTCCCCTCGCACCCCAAAGTTGTAAAGTTCATTTTTTGACATAATGTCTTGTACATCTCATTGTTACAATGTATCCCTATTTAAATGACTTGTTTTTTCCCTTCCCCTCCACAAATTATACCAACATCTAATACAATGAAAACAGGGGTTATACCATGGGGTAGGGACATACAAAGCAAAAGAAAAATCACCTTATAAATATGTTAGAAACAATAGCAAGAAAGAAAAACCATTTGAGTTCTTATCTTGGGGTTCATTTCATCTAACATCAACTTATCTAAACTTTTCCGCTTGTCTCAGACATATACTAGTTATTGCAAATAAAGAAAACCATGGGACCTATGTTTCTTTGGGCCTGGCTTACTTCACTTAATATAATTTTTTCCAAGTTCCATTTCCTAACAAATGGGGCAATGTCATTCCATCTGATGGGAGCATAGAATTCCATTGTGTATATATACCACACAACTGCCCAATAAATAAGTGGGCTAAAGACTTACAGAGAAACTTCTCTGAAGAAGAAAGAAGGATGGCCAATAGACACATGAGAAATGCTCAGCCTCTCTAGCCATAAAAGAAATGCAAATCAAAACAACATTGAGATACCACCTCACCCCAGTCAGAATGGCTAAAATCAAGAACTCTAACAACAACAGATGCTGGAGGGGATGTGGACAGAAAGGAACCCTACTGCATTGTTGATGGGAGTGTAAACTTGTTCAACCACTTTAGAAAGCAGTATGGAGGTTCCTCAAAAGACTCCATATAGAGCTCCCCTATGACCCAGCAATCCCACTTTTAGGCATTTACCCAAATGATCACAAACAAGACCATACTAAAGCTACTAGCACAACTATGTTTATTGCAGCATTATTTACCATAGCTAAGATATGGAACCAACCCAGATGCCCCTCAGTAGATGAATGGATAGAGAAAATGTGGTATACATACTTTCTTTCTAAAAACAGGTTTGAGTCAGAACCAGAAAAGGTTGACATTACTACAGCTACCTGCTATCTTCTCTCCCTGTCACCCACATGCTCCATTACAGTCTTTCCATATGCTCAAGTTCTCTCTCACTGCCATGAAAGTCAAGAATACTCTCAAGTGATTCAGATAAACTCAGATGTCTTCCTTGGCTGTCAGTGATTTTGGAAACTGAAGTGTGTCTTCTCTGATCTCAAGAAGTCAAGAGAGAAATGTCCTGTCTAATTTAAGCTAATGGAGTAAGATTCAGCAGCCAGAAACATCAATCTCTTTTTTTAAAAAAAAAAGAGCTTAGTATTTATTTATTGGAGATACCAGTCCTAGAAGCTCGGGAATAAACTACTTTGGTAGCAGGAAAACTCGATTTATACTTGTTTTGGAGGTACCTGTTGTGGTATCTGAAGTGGAATTTGCTCATTAAATCATGCTATGCTTACATTTTAAAGGGGAAAAAAACAACATCCAAGATTTCCTGTTTGGAAGAACAATGGTAGCAAACATGGAGCCTTCCCTAAGGATGTGAAGGAAACAGGCTGAAGGTGGACGAGTCTGGGCGGAATATCTTCCCTGTCACTAACATCCACAATGCCTTGCGAAACCATGGATAGAACATGCCATATATAATGGGATTGAAAGTAGAATTTAAATAGCCCAGCCAGAGGAAGACATTATACAAATCTTCAGTGGTTGAAAAATTAATGAAAGGGTCTGTGATGGTAAGGATAAAAAAAGGCATCCAACACAACACAAACACTCCCATCACTATGCTTAAAGTCTTGGTGGCCTTGCTTTCTTTCTTAGATGTTGCCTTCATGTTGCTTTCTGAGCCAACTTGTTTCATCTTAGGACCTGCACCAATTTGTTTAGCATGCTTCCTGGCTACTGTGAAAATATGTATGTAAATCCCGACCATCACTGTCCCAGGGAGAAAGAAAGCTATGAAGGAAGCCAATACTCCCCAGAGTTTGTTAAATATCAATACACACAAGCCAGTGCAGTCAATGGCTGTGACAAAATCTTCTGCACCAATAATGTTTAATTCTGAGAATACCAAGCCAAAGGCAAAGAAGATGGGAATGGACCAACTGATCAAGAGGAAGAATACTATCACAGGGATGGTCATCTTCGTGACATAGTGCAAAGGGTCGCAGACTGCATAGTAGCGGTCAACTGAGATGAAGCAGAGGTGGAAAATGGAGGTGGTGCAGAGCATGATGTCACAGCAGCTGTGGACTTTGCAAAAGAGATCTCCAAAGTACCAGCAGGACTCAATGGACCTGATCATACTGAAAGGCATGACCACGCAGCTCAGCAGGAAGTCCGTGGTGGCCATAGAGAGGATCAAAAAGTTGGTGGGGGAGTGGAGCTGCTTGAAGTGGGCGATGGAAATGATCACAACCAGATTGCCCAGCATAGTCATGACTATTGCACAGATCATGATGACATACATGGCACAGACAACGGGCATGGACCTCTCCTTGCGGAGACATGAACTGTTGACCAAGGCAAAGCAAAATTGTGCTTCGGGGGGATTCCAAAAGTCAGGTGAATTCATCGTGTTTGTCCTATGTCTTTTTCAGAAGTGCTGTGTTTCTTCCCTTTCTGTGAAAGAACAAAAATGATGTTTAAAAAAATTGCAGAGGTGGGGGGGGTGGGGGTGAGGCTGGGAAGGGATGTGAAGGGTAAACAAAGGAGGAGGCTGCAATGCTTGATAAGAAATGTACGCATTAACCTGCCCATGTAATTGTAACCCCTCTGTACAGTGTGTTCACAAAAAATTAAAAATTTTAAAAAAATGAAAGAAAAAAATTGCAGAGCTCACGACACTATGTGGAGAACAAACTTTACAAGTTGGGGGGAGGGAGGAGTTGGGGAGGTGGAGAGGGAAGAGACAGTTGGGGAAAAACAAAGGAGGGGGTAACAATGCTCCATAGGCAATGGACTCGTTACCTTATTCATGTAACTGTAACCACTCTGTACAGTAACTTTACAAGAAAAAAAGTATATATGTATATATTATATATATATGAAATTGCAGAGCAATTACCCACAGAAGTCCAGCTAAAATGCATTGCCAGTGCAAGGTTGAACTCCATACTGATCACACCATGGTCATAAGGATCACCTAGGGTTCTTTTGAAAACACAGATTCTTGATTGGGGAGGAGAGGCAGGGGAACAGTGTCTGACAAACTGTATTTCTCTCAAGCTCTCACTAAAGATCAAATCTGTTCATCCCAGCACATTTGAGCAAGAGGGTCTAAAGAAAACTTCAAAGATATTCAGTCAATCAATATCCAAGTAGCACAGGTGGATGCTTGTTCTAGATATACTAATCTGAAGTCCAGATTGTAGATTCCTAATCCATATATGGCCCTGGGATTCTTTATTGTCTCTCTTAACTAATTTTTTAAATACAAGCCCCCTTAGGAATGACAGAGCTGTAGAACTAATATTTAATGCTGAACTTAAATAGTAATTGAAGATTGTGGCAAGCTTCTCTGTGAGAAATTGCACATATGACTCCTTGTATATCGTTGATTAATAAAGCATTTTCTTTCCACTGTGAAAATGATAGTTTTTATAATTTAGAGCAGTGTTATGGCAAACTGAAGACATGCTAATAATTATAAAATTATGTGCGAGTAATGTCCAAAACAGGATAATAACTCAAATGATGGATTCTCTACCTTTCATGAGTTGTCTCCTTTCATTTAGCAGTTGCATTCATGAATTTAAATGCAATAAATTGAGAACCCTTGGCCACCAATTTCAAGTTTTAACATTATTACAGATTTGACATATTGAAGTGCTCACTGATTGTTTAATCTATTCTTTTGTATACTTCATGCTGTCACCTTTGTAATAGCAAAATAATGCCACTGATTTATAGTGTGACATGGGTTAGATTTGGTTTTCTAGTGTTAAATCTGTTTGTGTGATTCTAATGGCCAATGGCAAGCATTTGTGAGCTCTAGGGCCAGGACACAGAGATGGATGTTGGCCCAAGACTAGAATAAAACTCACTGACCTATTGGGGAAATGAACTCACAAACGCATTCTCACCAGACTGACATAAAAAAGATAATAACGAAAATACAAATACAATATCTCAGCCACTATTTATGCCAGTCTGTTCTTTGAAATCTTAATATCATAGCCTATTTTATTTGCTTTAGATATAATAATTTCTCAGATTGGTATCCTTATTAATTTTTAAGTATATCACCAAATATTATGCAATGAAGTTGAACTTGAGAAATTAAGCCATAGGGAAGTAAACTGTAAAGATAAAGATTTATGCAGCTTCTTTATGAAGTGGACTCTCAATATGTAATATTGTATGTAAGTACAGTATGTAAGTACAGAATATGTAAGTATACCTTACTTGGTTAGTTATCACTTCCTATGCTCTAAGAGACTGGAAGAATGAAACCCTAAACACCTAATTATCTATTTAATAAATCAACTGTAATTCATCATCTTTTTTACTTTTGTGATTTAGATAATACATTAATTTTTTTCTAGTCCTCTAAAATATTTTTAAAGATAACCACATTTCCACAGATTGTTTAAGCTTTAGCCACTATGCACTGTTAGAAATTGTGCTCTCCTATGGGGCTGAGAAGGTGGCTCAGTGGTAGAGTGCTTGCCTTGCATGCATGAGACCCTGGGTTCAATTCCTCAGCACCACATAAGCAAAAAGAAAAAAGCTGGAAGTGGTGCTGTGGCTCAAGTGGTAGAGCACTAGCCTTGAGCTGAGAGCTGAGGGACAGCGCCCAGGCCCAGAGTTCAGGCCCCACGACCGGACCCCCCCCCCAAAAAAAAAAAGAAAAGAAAAGAAATTGTGCTCTCCTAAACAAAAATGGGACACTTTGAAAATACTTTATTGGGTAGCTATTGAAGTTTAAATTCCTATTTGAAAGCCTAATTCCTCAAAGAATTGATTAATGATATAATTTAACTTCTTGGGTTGTAGAGTGAAATGATGTGTGTGTGTGTGTGTGTGTGTGTGTGTGTGTGTGTGTGTGTGTGTGTGTGTGTGTGTGTGTGTGTGTGTGTGCTACAGAGGAAATAGGGCCAGTATATGCTAAGTGTTCCCTGGTCTCTACCACTGAGCAATATCCCAAGCCCTCATTTTTCTTTTAGAATCACTTCTAAAACTGGATTCTCTCATGTTTCTGTTGCATAGTTACATTTATTAAGAAAATATTTAAACAGCAAAGAATTAAGTAAGGCAAGATAACAGTAACACATACATATTTATTTTTAAATTATTACATGGGTGAATAGTTAACACAACATCAAAGATAGGATTTAAAACCTGATTTTAAGCCTTTGGTCAAAACTTATACAAACAAGTAATCAAATGAAAGGCTAACTGCTGACCTGCTACTTTGTTGAAGGGAATTGTTAAGACAGTAAGTGGAGTTGTGGTTTTGATATTTTAATAGTTGGCAGGATAGAGATCTCTTTTCTTTGAGAACTGTCTACAGAAAAGAGTTGTGCCGTAATTAGTTGAATAAAATAAAATATGGTGGAATCTTGTACGGCATTTCACTTTCATCAAAGGACAGTTTTGCCTTTCTCCCTCTTTATGAATAGCATTTCCCCAATCATCAGCAGAAAAGGACTACATGAATTTCAGTATTGGGCAGTCACTTAGGAAAATGCAGGAAATTATTAATGACTTCTACAGTGGATATTTGCCTCCTTAAGTGAGAAGCAGACACGAGAACTCTGGGATCACCCAGAATGGGCATTTTAATGATGCAAAATATCCTCGGAATTCCAAAGGAAAAGAAACAACAAAGGAGTAACAGAATAATTTTCTTCTGTGTTGAGTATTAAAAGATATTAGTGCATATGCATTTTCCTCAAACAGAATCAGAATATTCAACTACTCAATAATTCATTTATAAAAAGATAACAAATAATAATTCATTGATGCATACATAGAAAGCAGAAGACACATCACACCTACTTTATCAGGCATAATTTTTCTTTGCTTACTGGTCACATAACTGAATACTCTACTTGGGGACTAATTGGGCAAAAATAATGATTTTTTTATCTTGCTTTGATGTGTCTTACCCATACAGTAGTTTGTTAGGTATGGAAGATTATTTATGAATTATCTGTAGGAGAGCTCTATCTGTTACAGGTCTTCCAGTCATTGTCTTTTTACAAACTCAGTAATTTTTTTTTAAAAATCTGTATTTCTTGTTATAGACATATTCTAGTGTTGTTTTATTCTATGTGCAAAAAAAAATCTAGCCCCCAAAATTACAATATTTTTTCCTTCCCTGAGATAGTCTCCTGTGGTTTGTGGGAATTTGTTTTCCCAATTAGGCAATTTAGAGTTAACTTACCTGGTGTGCCAGGGCTCTAACCAGACAAGTAAACATTATGATCACTGGTCTCCAGCTCCACCAGCATCTCCTTCTAGACACTCAGGTCACGCTCCTGGAAGGGTCTCTGAATAGGCTGGGCAGTGCACATTTAAGTACGAAGTAAAGCCTCTTGAGGCTGCTGCCCCAGGTCTTGCTCTAGACAGGTTTGTCTTTCCACACCATTTGGTGTAGTGCCAACATGAGACACAGAAGGTCACCAGAGAACTGACTCCAGAGAGGAAATCAGCTCGGTGCTCTCACTGCTACGACCTCTGAGAGACAGCATGACTAACCTCACACAGGCCAGAAGTGGAGAAAAAGGAAAAACAGAGGGAAAGGAGAAGTGGAGGGAGGAGAGGGGAAGGAGAAAACATAGTCCAAACCCAACAAATGTTCACTCTACTTATTAGCATAAGCTAGTTAATATTTTCAACCCGTGAGTTCTTAAAGCCCTGTACAAAGAAGGAATACTCCCCCACACCGTAGTTCTTTATCATCTTCCCAAATAAAAGACTTGACCCAAACACAAATTTTAAAAATGTCTCAAAATATACACATGAAGCTGGGCATATGTGTCCCAGCACTCAGGAGAGTTGGGCAGTATTTTTACGTGAGCTCAGTAGTTAGAGACATGTTCCAACAATATACCAACACCTTGTCTCTTAAAAAAAAAAGGAAAAGCAGATGAGTGGTTGGGGCTGTGGCTCAGTGGTAGAACCCGCACCCAGTATGTGTATGCCTGGGTTCAATCCTCAGCTTTTCCCCAACAAAATTGATGGAAATTGACAACTTCCAACAGTTCTTTTTAGCTCCTCGGTCTCTCAAATAGCAAATATTGTTATTTTTGTATTAATTCTTTTGCCAAAAGAGTGACTTCTTATTTCTTTTTTGTACATTTTTTATTATAAAAATACTGTACAGAGGGGTTACAGTTACATGAGCAAGGTAATGAGTACATTTCCTATTGAGCATTGTTGCCTCCTCTTTTGTTTTTCCCTTACCATCCCTTTCCTCCCACCTCCATTATTTCTTTTTTTTAAATTGTGAAAATACTGTACAGAGGGGTTACAATTACATGGGCAAGATAATGAGTACATTTCTTATCAAGCATTGTAGCCTCCTCCTTTGTTTACCCTTCCCATCCCATCCCCTCCCCGCCCCCC